ACTGTTACAGTAGCACAGAAGGGTAATTTACTTGGTATCCATGCCTTTGGTAATGCCTATTGCCTATGTGTTAGTGTTTTCTCCCCTCCAAACAAGCAGGTAACCTTGTTAATGACAGTCTCTACTTTCTTATCTAGGTGACTGTAAGACCATTATTCAATTAGCCTGTACCCCTTAGAATGTTATGTAACCTATATAAGATCTATGTTGCCCTGACATCGGGATCCTGTGTTTTCTTGCTGGGAATGTAGCGATCACTGTATTTATTTGCTAGCTTAATAAAGGAGCCAGTTTCTGACGTCTCCAATTGCTTTGTCTCAATTCCATAAGGTGAGATTTTTCTACTGCAAAATTAAATCAAGAATTTAGGATGACGGGTTTTATTCTGGCAATGTATGAGAACTGACTTAGTTGATTGACAGTTACCGTGATTAATTTTCCTTTTCTTAGATTTTGCTTAGCTTTGGTAACCTTGACATCTGTCTAGTGTTTAATTATTTTGAGATTATTCTACTATAAACAATATACTTGTGAGCCTTTCAGTAGATTTACTTTTGAATCTATTTTCAGATAGATAATAAATACATCTATTTTTCAGTAGATTTTTTTGGTCAATAAATACTTCTTTCTGGACTATTTTATAATAACATACAGTTTCTTCTAGTAGAAATATATTAACAAATTCCAATGTTATTAATAAAATGTAGTAATAACACTTGCATTAAATGATTTCCTCCTGTTTATAGAAGTATTCAGTTTAGAAAGTCTGTACACCCACTTACAAAACATTTGCTTGAAAGACAGGAAAATTGTATAGTTTAATAGTATATGATACTGGCCTAGCATTAAGAAAATTATGCAAGGTGATCATTTTCATCATTCTTCTCTAAATGTGGCCTGGAGAATACTTCCTCACATCAAAAAACTGAGTTTATACAACAGTTTAAGGACAAGTACATATACAAATATGTAAGATTGTGTAGGTTGTACTCTGACATGCATAATTTCTTTTTCCCTCTATGTATCTTTCTCTTGTTAACATGCCATGTGTGTTGATAGCCATGTATCTTCTGCAAATTCCTGTTAAAAACAGGAAGAAGGGTGTGTGTGAGAAAGCATACTATTAAATGTTATTTATTACTTTATTATTTAATATAAATTGTTTGTATGGCCACCTGATTCATAAAATGCAACTCTGGAGGGCTAATAATAGGATTTTAAAGAAAACAAAATAAGCAAATATAAAAGAACCACAACAGCCCATTATAAAACAGCAAAAACACAAGCCAAAATCCCAGCCTATTCAAAATCCTAAACCAAGTTCCAGCTGGGCTTATCCAATGTTGTAATCTAGTACTCAGAGGGAAAGCCAGGTTTTTAAAGCTTTATGGAAGGCTAACAAGTCTCTGGGAATATGCTGTTTGAAAGGGCAGATGCCATGACAAAGAAGGCATACCTCCTGGGTCCCATTAGATGGTATTATTTCCTGAAAGAGAGTTGAAGAATGCCAAGTCTGCTGGATCTCATGGAATGGCCAAACATAAACAGAGACAGGCAGTTCTGCAAATAACCCAGCCCTGTGCCATGAAAGATTGTTTAGGTTATAAGAGGCACCTTGAATTACACCTGGGAGCCAAAGGAAGCCAGTTCAACTTGCAAATTAATAGTGTATCATGATACACCCATAACTGCTGCATTGTGGATCAACTATAGCCTCTGGATGGTCTTGAGAAGCAGCCCCATGCAAGCAATCCAGCTGAGATACGATCAAGAGTTGAGTGACCATGAACAGGGCCTCCTGGTCTAGGAATAAGCACAATTGGCCCACATGTTGGAGTTATACAAAGGTCCCCTTGGCCATAACTGCCACTTGCTTTTCAAGCAGGAACTGTGAGTCCAAATTGTTTACCATTTCTGTCTGGGAAAATGTTACCCCATCCAGAGATAAAGATAGAAATTCTCCAGAAACCTCAAAGATCTTATTGGAGTTTCTTTTTCTGTAAATTAACATGGAATATCACTTGAACCTTATGGGAATAGGAAGATATAAGACAATTGGTAGACAGAATTCTGGGGAAGGGAACATATTTGCCTTTCCCATTTTAGCCCATGGATTTATTTCCTGAATTAGCATTCTTAAGTTATATATTCAATCTTGTTTAATATAATGTTGTAGTCTTAAATTATTTGACTCAGATATATCTAAATATATATTCTTGACTATAAACCAACAGAGGCAGATCAACATGATATAAAACAGATATACAAACAATGTACTACTGTACATCAAAAATCCCTGTGATATTGTCTGAGACAGAAAAACAATACTACTGTGATGAACCCCAAACATATGGGCAGGTGTTTGTATATAGATAAATAAATCAAAAAATAAGTAATAGATTTCTAAGAATTCTCAGCCGTGATTCTGTAGTATGTTGATTATTGGAAGCTCATCTGATAAAAGTACATGTTGACTGATTTGTGTCAAGTTAAAATATTTCAGTAAATATATAATCAACCTGTGCTATAAGCTACCCCCAATTTTACTAGACTTGTGCTAGGATATTCATCTTAAAACCATAATATAAAGGAAACACCTCTAACGCAGTGTAAGTATATTCAGAAATACTGTTTTCTGATGTAGCAATTACCATGATGTCATTACCAAGGGGTAAAAAAATGCCAATCCTTCATCCTCTTTCAGTTCTGCATTGAAGCAGCATTGGAGTGCTCTTTGTGCAAGGCTTTAGCATCGGAATCAGGACTTCCATGTCCTATTTTCTGGGAGAGGTTGTACATTTTCTATCTGTATATTCTCAAGTAAGCCAGATTTCCCATTACATATGACCCTGAAAACTCTTGCTTAATGTTAGAAAATAAACCAGGAACAATATTATATGCTATGTAATATCTCCCAGAGATGTGGCTAAGTTATTGTGTCACAGGTAACACCATAAGGTATTATCAGATATACTAAAGTGAATTGTTTGATTGTTGAATAAGTTTAATCTATATAGAAAATATGAGCTAATAATATCACTGGATATTATTATTGATCCTGCAGTAAATGTATTAATTTTTTATTGTGCTGCAAGTTGATATTCAGAGGCAATTTCTCAAGTCATTTTTAGCATGTGTACATAGAATTTGGAAGATGAGAAATTGGAAAAAAATGCCTCCTTCCTCTTCCACTTTTAAGATCGCCCATTCACAGAGTTCAGCCAATATTCTTTTCTTCAGTGGATACTATTTAATCACTGTGTTGGATCATCTAAATAAAATCTGAGTTTAGTATCAGGGAATCATCTATACTGTTAACTTTGATTTCATTTGCAGGATTATTTTGTTTCCTGAAAGATACGGAGTTTTACTTCTTCTTCACATGAGCATTTTATACATAATTCTAATAAAAACTAAAGGGTAGGTTAACTTCCAAAGAAAGCATAATATGTGCTATGTTAGAATGAAAATTAAATATCTCTTAACTGCTTTTTTACCCTATAATAAGAATGATGCTTGAATGCTGATCTGAAGAAATGCTATGGTATTTCAACATAAAAGCAACTGTGAGTTGTCTGAGCAAATGGGGGAAAATTAATACCATAGCTTCAGTCCTTGGATATGATTGACAGTATATGATATGAAATAATAGTCTTTCAAAGGGCATGCATTTTAGATTCTCAAAAGAATTTCAAAGTTACTGCATTTCAGGTCAAGGTCTTCAAGTAGCCCAATTATCAAGAAGTGCCAAAATTGTCTTCCATGTTTTAAAAAATGTGCTAATTTAAATAAGAGTTTTGTTGTAATTTTTTTTTATTTTGGGGGGAATCTCATATAATGGATTTACCCAAAAAAAAGTGCTCTAAGTGTAATGATGCACAATTTTGACATCATTTCAAATAAGCCATATTTCAAAGAAATAGTAATGTGCATTTTTCTTTTTAAGTTGTATATTGAATTGTTTTGGATTTGAGTCTGCTACATCAGTCAGTATGTGGGAAAAAAATATGTTGTGACATGGAAAACAGCTCAGCACTCCTAACTACAATAACTTGAAAGTAAGTTCTGCTAAATTAGTGTGACGTAATTCCAAACAAATTATTTGAGGAAAATTAGTTCTCTGTTTAAAAAAAAAAGTACTGCTAGCTGGTGCTTACTTCATATTCATCATATTTGATTTTTTTCTTGTTTAATATTTTTAAAAGACTATAAAAATATCTCTTTATTGGGAAGACATCTAATCATTTGATTTGCTAAACCTCTGTGGTACTACATACAGCTTCTATTACATCAAGGAAAACGTTTTTGTTGTTTTTGTTATTCAGAATATGTTCTCCTGGATGAAAACACTAAAATGAGTTTTACATATGAGTAGATGCATTTTGAATACCTTTCTTTGAGCAAATCTATCTATCTATCTATCTATCTATCTATCTATCTATCTATCTATCTATCTATCAAAAGATAAACAGTAAGATGAGCTTTACATACCGCACTTAGTAATCCACTGAAGCTGGTTGCACACCAAGCCAACTAACCATAGTTGGACTTGGCTGGTACTTGACTGGCAGACCATCAGAAAATCCTAGGCTGTAGGATTTGTTGCTAAGAAAACTACAGAAACATGTCCATAAAGTTATTGGGAGTCAAGCTTGACTCTAGGGACTTTTTACCTTTTTCCTTTTTTTTTTTTTTTAATAACACAACACAACACAGCTACCTTTGCAAACTTCAGGTAGGTTAGCAAAGGCAGCAGTTAAACATATTTAATGTGTTGTGCCTTGATTCCTGTGTCTTACTGATTTGTGCATAATGAAATTTCACCCACGGGTGTCTAGATACTGGTTACTACATGCTTTTCATGCACTTTTTGTTGGAGATTTTTGCTTCCTAAGTTGGCCCATATGTGTTGCATGCCCAAGACTGTTGACTCTCATTTTATGTTTGTCTTCCATATATAATTCATACACAAGCTGTTCTCTTTTTTTCCCCTTTTGTAGAAATTATTGAGCCTACTACTACTAGTCGTGTCTCAAGCTCAGGTCAGTATCCACGTACACCCCCAAAGTATGCTTGGGTACTCTCTTTTTCTCTTTTTGAGGAATGACAGTATATATGGTGTCATATCAATCTACATCCCATTGATGCTGAACAATATTTGTTCTGATACTGCTGAGTTGTTCCTTTCCTTCTTGTGTAGTCACAGTTTGTGCTGCTCTTTGGGCAAATGCTAGTCTGCCTTAATAGATTTCTTTTATATTAAAGCGCTTCTCTTTTTCTGCCTGCCCTAAAGATCATATAGCAGATGCATACAGTGTTGGCACAGTGGTGAAGCGCCTTTGCTTTTCTACTCCCTTTGTGGTATTATCTGTGGTAAATTGATTATTGGCTGTTTTGCTAGAAGCAAGGTATTTGTATGGGCTTCTGCTTTTTTTTTTTCCTTTCAGCTCTTTTTTGTGAATATTATGTTGCAACATTTATTGCTAAATGTTGAATTTATTAATCAGTTTAACACTGTATTAATGACAGGAGGGATGTTTGGCAAAGAAAAGGATCTTCACTGTAGAAACCTGAAGTCGGGAAAGCACCACAGTTCAAGAAATTGTGGCTTATTCACAAAGCCAAATGTGAGAAAAATGCAAAATTTCTGTATTTTGGTTTTGACTTGATAGGAAGCTAGAATAACTCCTTGATGCTTACATCCTGTACATACTTTTCATTATAGCCAACATCAATTTCAATGGAATAACGAACTTCAGGTTCAGGGGGAAAAATATAAAATTAGGGAGAACATGGGAGCCTGGGTAGTGTAGCAGTTAAGAAGCTGGACTTGGATGAGGAGAGCTTTCTTAAAGTCCCTACTCAGCCAGGAAGACCACTGAGTATCACTGGGCCAGGCAGTCGCTCTCAGTCTAATCTATATCACAAGGCCATTGTTGTGAGAATAACATTAGGTGAGACACCCCCCACCCACCCCATTATAAATCCCCTTGAGCTCTCAAGGGAAAAACAGGATATCTACGTAATAAATACACATATATCATTTTTATTAACTATTTGAGGAATGTCATTTTTCCTCATCTGTACAAAATTATAATTGTGAAATCAGGTCCCACATATATTCCAGTTACAGATGGAGACTGTGCAATACTGGTAACAGATTGCTACAAATCTGCTGCAGACTGAGTGTCCTATCCTTGGCAGCCACAAAGCTGAGGATAGATGTAAATGAAAGAATTCTGTCTAGCAGATGTTTGAAATGATATTTCGTCCATTGATATTGGTCCCTTTTTGATAATGTATAATTTCAGCTATGAAGACTGAGGTTCCCACTGCTTCTATGTCTTCTTTGAATGATGCAGCTGTCTAGTTATCAAATCTTGACATAGTGACTACAAGTAGTGGCTAGGATTTGTCTTTTGTTCCTTGTGTCATTTATGAGTGAAGAGGAAAGGGAACCATTCACCAGGAGAGATTTCACTCAGGGGCAATCAGTGCTAGCAATAGGATTTATAGCAGTAAATTTAAGTATATGTCTAATGTGCCATAGTGCTATATCCCGATCTTTGCAAGGGAAATGCAAGATGCAAATGTAATTTAAAATGTTTATTATTTATTGATTAGATTTATATTGCCCCTATATTATATACAACTGAACATGACATGCATAATGCTCACTCCTTTTGTTTTCCCCATGTCAACTCTATCAGGTGAGATGGGCTGAGAGTAATAAATGACCCAAAGTCACCCAGATGATGTCCATTCCTAGGGGAGGACTAGAACTCACAGTTTGCCAATTTTTAGTCCAACATCTGAACAGCTACCTCAAAGGGTTATAAATATAGTCTGTTGAGTTGGAAGTTCTGTTGGGTTTGAAGTGTAGAAGAGAACCTAAGTTGCAAATTTGCTTTGGGCCTAGAAAATAATACTTAAATCCTGTTTGCACAGAAATAGTTGATATAGCACTTGCTAAAAACTTTTCTTTTTACTGATTAGTGTTAGCCCACTAAATATCACAGAAAATATTTGCATGAAACACTAAGTTCAGAATACAGTAATTATTTCAGAATGCAAGGGAATGCTGCAACAATGTGCCATTCTTCAATTTGTTAAAGCAGCTCATATTTTGTAAGGCTTGTGAAGCTGCTTCAGAAGTTGCTCCCAGATATTTGTTTATTCAATTTATAATTGGCCTAATTGAAACAACTCGAGGCGACGTGCAGGATGTTAAAATCACATCATCAAAAACAAACTACATGTATTTGCATGTCCTATACAGCTACTTTGCTAGACTGGGAAAGTGAGACATATTGCCAAGTACTTTGTTCAAATGCTTTCTACATCTCTAGTATCCAATAGTAACTAAGTGGAGTATCTTCATTAGGAGAGCTATGACACTAATAAGAGCAGAGAAAAATTAGGTTTAAATTTGTTTCTGGCCTTCCACGTTACTAGGTCTATGTTTTGTGGTGCAACATTGACATAACCTTTTTAACCCTTGAGATCTAAGAGTGAGGCATTTAAAGGAGTTATAATAATCCAATTACTTGGTAAAGATCAGAAAAGAAGTTTCTTACCTGCATGTCACCTCTGCTAGGGTATGTTCTGCAGTCCCAGTGCTTTGAGTCTGATAGGGCTCATTATTATAATTTGCAGCCAACTAGGAAGTATCTTACTAAAACTACACAGAGCTAGGAATAATTCAGTCCTGCCCCAAACTCATCCTCATATGGATGAATGCCAGTCTATTGTATAGCAGGATAGGTCTATAGAGATAATTGGAAGGAAGTCCATATTCCTTCCAGGGAAGAAAAGTGTTAATATAAATCTACCATAGTATTAAATATACAAAATAATTCATTTCAGTGAATTTAAAAGTATCTTAAATGTTTCTAAATTTGTGTTAGCTTGCAGGTTCTTTTTAAGATTAAGAGTTTTTGTGTCATTTTGTGTTGCAAGTTGTTTACTTTGCATGTTTTGGTGCATTTAACATTTATTAGAAAGGTTAGATTTTAAAAGTAAAATGATATAATTTGTAGTGACCTTGGTTTGTATGGTTCTTTCACTTTAAAGAAATAGGAGTGCAATTAATGAAGATTTCACAAAGGGGAATGCAGGGTTAGGATATTTAACTATCCTATCATGGGAAATAAGGAATCAGTGATGAGGAAGAACAAATTATGGGCTTAGAAAATTATATAATATGGGGAGGTTTTCGTTTTGATTTGTTCTTTTTTTTTTTTAAGAACAAATTCTGATCCTGATTTTCATTTTCTATTGCTAACATTGATGGTAATAGTTTCCTCTCGGTATTAGTTTATCACACTTTCTCCTGCTGCCCCCTAGTAGTGAACATTTCTTGTTTGGAGCAGACTATTAACTTTCAGTCAACATCAGAAATACTGCGATGTGAATTTCTTTAACATATTCTGAAAAAAACAAACACAAATACTTGACAATTTGACAGGCAGGTGCTTCTGATGAACATTGCTGCAGCTGATGACAATTCAGAAATACTGGCAGCTTTGGACAGACACTAAACCAACTTTAGCTAATGAGGTTTTATAGTGAATTTTAAGTATTTAGTGAAATTAATTGACTAATAGGCAAGATTAATGAGATGAGAAATTTGGCAAAATATAAATGCTTCCTCTTCGGTTAAGAAGAGTTTTGGCAAATAAAATTATAGGGAAACGGGTAGGATAGGAATGAAGAAACAGATGGAGGAAAAGTCTGCGAGGTTGATCACAAGGAATTTGCAAATTTGGAGAATATATCTTAACTGGTGAAAGACTGGAGGACCTTATAGTTTAGTAATGAAGCCTTTTGCTTTGCATGCAAAAAATCCAGGCTTTGCTCAAGCCCAGCCCTCTCTCTGTTCTTCCTTGGCTCAATGAACGTACAAGTGAAATGAAGACATTTTTCTAAAAGAGAATTTATGAACTGGATCAGGACCACTGCACTTAAGATTATTGCTTCAATTGCCAGCTTGCTGAAGAATCAGCATTATTCTTCTCGGTTTCTCTGCCATCAGCTGTTTTACATGCTGCGTTAAGCCTTTTAAACTCTGCTGCTTCAAACTTTTTCCAATAACATGTGACCATCTCACCAGATCCTCAAAGAGCACCAATCAACTTAGCTTCTTCTCTGATCCATGGTAAATAGAGGTATTGGGAATTAACTTTCAAAATTCTTAACTGCTTAGAGGTATTTCTAGTAACAGTAACTCAGCCTTCCCTTATATATTAGCAGCTTTGCAAAGATTGGAGGCTTATTGGGATACTTTCATTCCATGTTTCATTTAAACCTGAGCTACTTACCATAATACAAAACTTGCAGTTAAGAAAACTATATATCGCAGCCTGTGTACATGAAATTATAATACTACTGCTTATTAAACTGCTGCCAGTTTGTAAAAGGAACATCTGTTGAACAAATAATTTAAAGACTATCAGTGATTTAGTTGATAATGGTTACATATTATAACTCCAATGCAAAATATTGTCATCTCACAAGACTCTCAAAGAGCACCAATCACCTATTATATATTATATTATATTATATTATATTATATTATATTATATTATATTATATTATAATGATTTATTTTATTCAGACTTGTCAAGACAGC